AGATGTGCGAACGGATGCCGCAGTTCTTACGGGCTGGCAATTGGACGCCCTTCTCCGCCGGCGTGCATTAGAGAACGCCGAAAACGCTCGAGACACGTTGGAAAGCATCGTCAAGCTCGTCGACCAGATTGAAAACATGCCCGTGGGGCAGGACGTAAAAGGCGACGTGCAACACTCGCTCACAGCTCTCGAACAGGTTTATTGGTTCAACTTACTTGCATGAGCACTGAACTAACAATCGTGCCTTAGATGTACGCATCAGCTTCTACGTCACTGAACGACACTCTTCATCAGTCGGCTGACGCCCTCACTCTTGCATCCCGCGCATTTTTCAACCCCGGAATGCTTGCGCTGTTGTATTTTCCGGCAGAGCATAAGTACGCGGTGTACACCCCCTTGTTCGCCAGTGCCATGATCCCATTGATGGCCACTGTAGCGAGGGAATTTATGGCGTGGCGGAGACAACGTAGAGATGCTGTAGTAGAGTAGCAAGGTTTCCTGGTCTGTTGGTTTCAAACTGAGTGGATAATTACAAGATACGTCGTGTACATAAAATACAAATACTGCTATATTGTCCGAAATTATGAGATGTAAACTCTGCGTAAAGCCGAAAATTTGCAAGTTGTCTTGCTACGAGGGCATGTTACCATCCCATCGTTTCTCAAAGACATCTCCTCCATCGCCTTTAAAGTCGTCAGCGGTCTATGGAAACGGGCAATTGGATGAATTACGTACCTCCCTCGAATACACATGGCCGGTATCAGGGAACGCCAAGGGCATATTATCGGCGTCCATAATTTTTCCCGTGATGGAACATACAATAGTCGAGTTTGCGTGATGGCTAAAAGGCACCTCTTCCGCAAGTCTACCTAGTCCGAGGCCTTGCGAACCAGATCCAGCCTCGCCGTCACATACGGGGCAGTCGACGTTTTTCATCGAGTGTGAGTAACAGGCGGGAAGCTTCAAGGAGGCCAACCCGGCATAGAGGCTGAGGTGCAGGAGAGGCTCTGTCGGCAGGGTGTTTAGGGAGTAAATAGCCTGCCGGAATGACTGGATGAGGGCGGTCCATCGAGACATATCATACAGCCGCTGAAACGCATCCAGTCTATAAGGTACACATAATACGAAGGAAAATATAGATACCTTGTACCGCCCGTATGACGTATCAGGGCGAAAGGCCAGGAGAGCTGCAGCCTGCTGAATCTGGTCCAGGTGGGTTTCCCGCCACGAAACCAAGTGTTTTTTCGAATATTCGATGGCTTCTTGGTGTTTGCAAGCCCTGGAGAGTTCGATATATTCTTGTAGTCGAAGATCAAACTCAAGGGTGCTCTGTAATGTTTTCAGAAACGAACTGAGGAATGGACAAAAATGCGGAAGAAATGAGGTATGAAATGTGGATGGGGGCTTGAGTAAGGTGCGAGCGGGCATGCATACCTTCATCTTACGAAGCGCGTTCTTGTTTTCGCTGCACCATGCCAGCGCCTCTGTACAGCTATATCGTGCGAGAGCCCCCTCGATTCGCTTGATGTCGCTGAAGAGATCAATGTCGACCAACGTCTGAGATACTGATGAGCAAGTGCGCCACAAATGACGGGTGTGGGGGACGCACCTCGATGTGTTTCTCTTTCGCGATCATTCTCGCCGTCTTCTCCTTTCCATTCCGTAACGCCCAGTCCACTAGCCACCGGTCCAACCTTGTATCCGCCCACCGCCCGAACTCGGGATCGTTCGCCGTCTGGATGTGCTCAACGGTGGCCAAGTGCTGCAGTCGTTCACGAATGACATCTTGCGTAGGTTTTCCGGCGGTATTGTGTAGGTCAGATAGCTACAGCTCGAATTAGCGACTCCGGATAAGAACACGACCGCTATCACCTTGCGTTTAAGATTCTCCACGTTATTGATCATAGCGTCAATGGATTGGATGGCCGCTTCAGAGCTGACATCACCGGAGGAGGATTGCTTGGCCAGCTCGGTTGCCGACGCCGAAACGGCTTTCAAGGTGTGTTCGACGTTCCGCTGCGTCGTACGAAATACTTTGCGATAGTTTTCGTACGGAACCTGGATGGCGGGAATGAGGGGTGGTTATTGACGACCTGGGAACGTACCCTAGCAAAGGGCTGTTCAAATAGCAGAATCCCATCGACGTTGAGTTTGTTGGCCATGAAAGTAGGAAGCACGAGTAGATGCCGAGCGGCCCGAGCTGATCTCCTTGACTCGGAACGAAATTCACAAGAAATTCATGGACTAGTTTCTACGCGACAGATTATTACAAGATGAGATACACGTAACGCGAACAAGGTACCCCTCCAAAAAATCTGGATGAATAGAGTCAGCCTTAACAACGGCAAAGGCGACCATACGACGCACCTCTGGATCCAAAGAAGTCCTCCCGACAAACTCTCCGAAGAGACACAAGAAGGAAAAAATTGACTGCACAGCAGACATAGAGTAGTCTGAATCGAGTTACACACCATCTCCCCGTTCGCGAGACGGGTCGATAAGCATGTGCTGCGAAGTGCACTAAAGGACGGTGTCCTCCGCGCGCCCAAATAATCCATGCTTCCCTCGTACACCGAACGACCGCACGAAGCCTCTCTGTACCTGTTTCGTTGCGGGGTATCCAGACCAAGGTACAGACTGCGAAGGGACGCGTGACCTCGTGCAGGGTTCAGCTGAACGTTCCCAGTGTCGTGTACATGCCGATTCGGAGGCGTCGAGGTTCGTGGAGTTTGCGACCCATCGTGATCCGTGGACAGGGAGCTACCATAATAGGCGCATTCCGGCGAGAAGACTCCGTGCGGCGCTGCACAAGATCGTAAACGATGAGGAGAGGCTGACCACTCAGGGCGTTCAGGGCCCCTCCTTGCATTCTCCGAAGAGAACACCTTGGGCGCCGATAGAAAAACACGGAAGAGCGAGAAGAAGCCACCGCCCAATCCCCGCGACGAATTCCAAATCCGAGTCTTCATGCTCTCCCTTCGAAAGAAGATCTTTGAGACGATAAAAGAACAGATGGTTTTCTGATACGCCGCTCGACCATTAAAGCCGGACCCCGCTGGGGCCAGTCTAGGGGGACTGGAATACTCAGACCTTGGCCCGCTCGTGAAGGAGGACTGAAAAGTCCTGTGTGGAACGAGCGTCGCAGCCTTGAGTCTGCTGTGTAAAGAAAAAGGAGTCCTGAGTCACGTTCCCTTTTATTCCCCCCGACCTTCCGAATCTTTCCGAATCTTGCCGAATCCCTCCGAACTCGGATGCTTGCCTTTGCTGAATATCCGGGATCCTTCAGACGTCGTTCCTTTTGGGGGGCAAACTGGCCGCGAGTACGATCTGGATACTAAGGTTGTGCGCCGTCTTGTTCTGTCTTTGACTCACAGTGCACACACACGCCGACCAGCGACCCTTTCCAGCCCTTTCCCTCCCTTTCCTCACCCACTGGTTTCCCCGTCCCTCTCCACATATTAGCCCCTTCTATGACACATCGATTTATTTTATCTGACTGAGTTGAATTCGCCGCCAACCTTTGGACCCCGTTTACGCCCACATAAACTTTTGCGCCATAGCCTATTCAAACCTACAGCCCATTTTCGCTGGCTCCGTGCCACAGAATTCGACCGCATAATAGCTTATCTCTTCTCATCTCAATTTACTTTCGTTTGCCTTTCGAGGCTGTTTTGACGCTTGGAACTTTCCGCCGATGGCCCCTTTTCCGTGGCGGCCCCGAACACTCCAAAACGGCCCGCAATCGTCCTTTACGATCTGCACCTCTTTGCGCGGTGTGGACGTTATTTCGTGTTGCGGTCATCTCAAAACTAAAGCAGCTCTTAGCTTTCATTCTGATCGACTTGGCCATGCAGTCCTCGCGGAGCCGGCTACACAACCCGAGGCCAGTCTATAGTGTAATCTGAATGCGCGGGCCCGGGGTGCAGCATGCTGTATTACTCACATCACTGTGTACCCCAGTGCTGACTAGTCTCCTGATTAATTCCTGGAATCGAAGGCACCCATTCTGCGTCATTTGGGACGGCGACCAGCTGAGAGTGCGCTATGGCTCGATAATCACCCTGATCTATTGAATCGCGTGCAATTCACGCTAACCAAACTTTCGCGTTGGCCATTGGGATTTCATACGGGAGCGGAAATGTATGGATCGCATGCTCCGCGGCGTCGCCTGCAGATGGCTCCACGTCCCACTCCTACCGGTAGTCTATCACCATTTGAATCCGTGCTGGCAGTTTCCGAGGTCCTCTGGTCGTCGATTGCAACCCTCTGGACACGATCTGTACTGTTTTCTCTCTGGGACGGAGACTTGATTCGGGATGGGACCTCCGCCATCCTCAGGTTTTCCCTTGAGTGGTCCCCGCGGTATCGATATTAATGCTACCTACCTTCGCACCTGACTCACCCCATCGCAAAATAAGATCACTCTGGGTCCCAATTTCCCCTAGGCCGCCCGCGCCCGCCCCGCTCAATTCCATCCGATCCCGATTTTCCTGTGATAGGCTCACGTCGGCTCATGCCGCCGTCGATCTTGAAGAGCAATAAATACCCATCGTGCATGCCATGCTGGCTATTTGCGAGACGGTATCCCGTGGAGAGAACGACCGAGAATTGAGTGACCACGGGATTCGTGTGATGCTCTTGGGCGGTTCCTGGAGCTCAGGCAACAAGTGGACAATATTGCAGGAAGGAAGGAAGCTCCCTCGGTACCATGTTGAGGGCTTGGTTTTTCTTTTGTCCAGTAAGGGGTGGGACTATTGTAGGATTTCCGGTTGCGGGGAGCTTCACCGCCGGAGCGCGAAGCGCCCCGGCGACCATATCCGACGCGTACATCTGAAGGAAGACTGTGTGGGAAGCCTGTCATTGATTTTTTTCTATCCCTATTCGCAAGTAGTGCACTTCCAGATCGAGTATATTCAAATCGATGCAGTGCGGGGTTCGACGACCAACTGGGGAACACAAATAAAAAGGATTGCGGCTGGAATCCGTGGTAATGACAAAAATGCCCACTAGCCGAGTCGAACGACTGACCTTCGCATTCCAAGATCAAGCATAACATGCTTACGTACGAGTGCGACGCTCTACCAACTGAGCTAAGGGGGCATGGATGTGGGAGGGGAGGAGAGATCCTGAATCCGCGTCAAACGAATATAAAAATTCGCAAATTGAATAACAGGCAGCCGAGATACCGCGCAAACAAAAGAAAATCAAGAGACCACTCCCTCGTGCGACGCCCTACCAACGAGGAGGGATGGGACAAAGCATGTCTCAATTTTCTCATGTGCGGTCCTGGGACCAACCAGCCTGTGGATCCACAGGAAGGATATAGGGGGTTGTGATCGTGATGACAGCTGTCACTTCCGGAGAGGAGAGATCCTGAATCCGCGTCAAACGAATATAAAAACTCGCAAATTGAATAACAGGCAGCCGAGATACCGCGCAAACAAAAGAAAATCAAGAGACCACTCCCTCGTGCGACGCCCTACCAACTGAGCTAAGGGGGCTTATGGATGTGGGAGGGGAGGAGAGATCCTGAATCCGCGTCAAACGAATATAAAAATTCGCAAATTGAATAACAGGCAGCCGAGATACCGCGCAAACAAAAGAAAATCAAGAGACCACTCCCTCGTGCGACACCCTACCAACAAGGAGGGATGGGACAAAGCATGTCTCAATTTTCTCATGTGCGGTCCTGGGACCAACCAGCCTGTGGATCCACAGGAAGGATATAGGGGGTTGTGATCGTGATGACAGCTGTCACTTCCGGATCGGGACTCGAGCGTTGGTTGGCCGAATTGGATGATACCGTTACTTGTATCAAGGACTCTCGACACCAATCAACAAGATGGAACGACAAAAGACCATGCCTAGACTCTCGAGGGCTCTTGATGGATCACTGCCGCGGGAACTGTAGGCTATTAGCTAATACGGCTGTCAAAACAAGTTGAAACAACTTCCCCATCTCTTCACCTCTTCACCTTTTCACATTGGCGCGTCAAATGTCTGTTCGCGTCTCCGCGCGACTGCGACGCGTCCATCACCCCTTGGTCATCGGAAATCTGGTCAGCACATCTGAGCGCAGCCTGGGGCCCAACTCTTGTCGCCTCCCAGTACACTTGACGCGGCAAAGTACTGGGAGGCGCGGTTCAAGACAACATATCCTATGCCCGCGATTTGTTGCTTCATTTAATTAGCCCAATTGTGCTCTGGAATCCATCGACAATCTCTTCGGCTCTCCTCGTCGTTCCTCGTGCCGGTATCCCGACCTTTCGAAGCTGTCGGGCGTAAGCAACCACGCGCATCACGCGTCATTCGTCTCTTTCGGGCAGTCGTTCGACCAAACGCAAAGGATCGCGCGGATGTAAATAATTTTGGAGCGGGATCCGGCGTCAATCCAGCGTGAGGGTATACAATGGCTGTCACCCGGCCTCGAGAGAACCGCGTCCGGCGCGCATTTGGCGCGGAATCCTGCAAATGCGCGGCCTTTCTCGATCCCTGGGTTGGGATATTCAAGTCCCGACCCCGGACGGCGACATTTTGACCCAACCTATTCCGTGACGCGCCTGTCTTTCCTCCTCCTCCTCGCCCTCTTTTCCTCCAAATGCCTGCTCTGAAAAGCACGGTAAGCAGCGTAGAATTCCACATGCCGCGTCCCTGAGCGTTTCTTACAGGGCAGCACGGTCTCCGAGAGTGGGCTGGTCAGCGCGCGCCCTCTTCACAACACCCCGAATGCACTAACACTGTTTCTCAAGCCGCCGCCGAGCAAGTTCGGGCGCTCCCATGGTCCCTTGGAGGAGGAGGACGACGATCTCTTCTTCGAAGGCCAACCGGTGCGTGCTTTCCTTTTTCCATTGACCGTGTACTGATAACTCGCCAGCTTTTTCCCTTGGCAAGCGCTGTCCCGTCTTCGGATGCCAACCTCGTGAGTTCCACTGCAAAGAATGCCAAGGGAAAGGCCAAAGCCGTGGTCAGTAATTTCAACTCACACGTTAAATATCGTCGCTTATACTGTTGATAGGATGTCGAGGACGTCGTGCCGAAGAACGACAAGGACGAAACGAAAGCTGCGGTCAGTAATTTCAACTCGCGCATTAAATCTCGTCGCTTATACTGTTGATAGGATGTCGAGGACGTCGTGCCGAAGAACGACAATGGAAAAGCGAAAGCTGCGGTCAGTTATTTTAATTCGCACATTTGAGCCTCCGACTTAGACTGTCTTAGGACCCGTCGGATGCACAAACCCGGCGTGATGAGAAGAACGCGGCGCAGCGAGCCGCTCGCCGTCGCGAGGCCGCCGAAAACCCTCAACTGGCTATTCTCCAACGAAAGGAGAGCGGCTGGGCGCACAGTCCGCTGGTCGCCGAGTTTTGGATAACCTGCTTTGTGATCTTGATGAAACGTGAGCTGGCCGTGCAAAACGCGGTGGCGACACACACCGACGACCTCCAAGCGGTGCAAGCCGCCGTCGCCGCTCATTGTTCTGCCGAGTCTCATTCTCCCATCTCATCGACAGCGCCCGTCTGGGCTGCTTTTCCACCTCGCATCGTGGCCTTCCTTGCTGCGGCGGCAAGAAATCCAACCACGCTCACAATCGACTCCTGGATTGCTGACGGCACGCTTGTTCTAAGCGACCCAGATGATGACCCGCCGACTTCTGCCTGCGCGAACTATGTTCGTCGCATCAAGGTCGGCAAAGAAGTCATCGGCTGCCTTACAAAATACCTGAGTGCCTATCCTGCCGATGCAGCAAACGCAGTTTTGCAAATACTGCTGCTTGGGGGAACACTCGATGACGTCCAGGCAGAGTTCAGTGAAGCTATGGCGGAGTTTGGCTTGGATGGCGCTGTCCAAAGTTTTGTGGCTGCAATTGAAAGGCACAAAGCGGTCGCCGCCTTGGCGGCTACTCGACGCGCAGGAAAGTCAACGACGCTGCCGTACGTCGGCATCACCCATGCCGTCGCGCCGGGCAAGCGCGGTTGGGACGATCTCGACGCAGGTGCAAATGTGAGAATCGTGAACTTCCTCGAGGCGAATGGAGGGCTGGAGTGGGAAACGTATCATCTCCCGGAGCTCGACACGCCGATCAGCTCACCCATGGACGTACGCACCAATCCCGACATTAGCCATAAAGAGCGTATCATGCGCGCTGTTTTCGGTGCGGTGGCGATGAACTCGGCTCATGGCGGCGTTCAACCCATCTTCGTCCCATCGGAGGCGCTCGCGCAGCTGCAGCAGCGAGTCCTTTCGATGACCCCCGTCCATCCCTTTCCTCTCGGACAAGATCGTGACCCGCAGCTCGAGGCCCGCATACGGTCGTGCATCGACGACGAGGTTCGGCTCCTTGGTCCGATGCACCCCATCAAAATCGTCGACGAGGCCCTCGATGCTGTGAAGACCAATATTGCAAGCGTCCTTCGACTATCGAAAGGACGAGTTCTTACGCTGCACGTCGCCAAGGACATAACGTTTGAAGGAATGTCGGGAAAGTGTGTAGGTTACTGGGATGGACACGTTGGTCCTGGTCCACAGACCGACCGCTATTTCCGCCGGATGCTGCATCCACAAATCCCGGCTGCCGACAACCTTCCCGTTGACGTTATTGCCCGCTACATTGGGCCATATGTCGATTTCTGGCGCGTAATCTTTTGGCATTGGCTGTATTGGTTACACGTTCTCTTGCTAGCGAGACTCTTGACGATCATTCGGCCGCTGGTGATTACCAGCCAATCGAATCCCGTCGCGGCTATGATCCATTCCGGCGATCTAGCAACGTGCTGGTCGTTCCTCCCCGAGGAAGTGCTCGAACAATTCCTCGCCGGCAACAGTCCGGTCGGGCTCGAGAAGTTTTTCCCTGCCGATGTGCGGTATCGCCGCTACTTGGGCGGCGAGTTCAACGCTTTACTGGGCAGCATCACCGTTGTGCGAAGCGGTCGTCATCCCTCCAACCTGTCGCTGTACGTCGCAGGCGGCGACTACGGAAGGCATAAATACGAACCCAGCCTTGCGTGGATTCGGTGCATCGTAGACTTATATGTTCAGCTGGTGGATTATGTCGTGTTGCAGACGACCGCGGCGCACCTCGACCGAGACGACCCCGTCAATTGGGATGATTCGTCAGAAGTGAAACGTTGGCTGGAAACCGTCAAGGCGGCGGCGGAGACCAAGTTGGTCGAAACAGGCGTGACTGCGGCGCTAGAGGAGGCCAAGAAGACCGCCCGCGTAGCTGAAGAGGCAACAGGTTTTCTCCGTTCCATGCTCGCTTCAAAGCGTGCGCACGAGGCATGGCTGGCTTCGACGGGAGACGTGGTGTACAAGAGACGGGAGGGCATCAAGGCCGCCCCGTCGGGCGAGCTCCGGCGGAACCAGCTGGACCTGTATCTTCGACAAGCCCTGGAGCTCGACTCGTTCGACCTCCCACCCGACCCCAACCACCTCGGCAGTTATCCGCACCCAATCTTGTCCGACTCCTTCCCGACTTGGTTTTTGGGCTTGAAGGACGGCGTCGACATAGTCTACTCCGCAAACGCCGAGGGTCACACGAAGGAGTCATACGACCTCGTCCAAGCCAAACGGGACAATTTCGCGGAATGGCGCCGGACGAACCCTGTCATCGTCGACGTCGCCGCTATCGATCGCAAGAACCTACTCGAGGCCGTCGCTGCGAGGAAAGACGGGAATGTCTATACCGTCTCCGAGTTATTGCAATGTTGGCGATACGGTCTCTGTGATATCTGCGGCTCGTTCGTGCTCGGGAGGCACAACGACGTGACCCATATCTGCGTCGACGCGTAACGGCGGCAGCTCACCTCCACAGAGTTTCCGACCCTCGAGCGCATACTTTATGCACACGACATTCTCAACGCGCCGGAGATTTCTTTCGGCAACAAGCAAGAGGTCTTGACAAAACTCGAGCTCGTCGCCGTCTCCGTGGCCTCAATCCTTACCTCGCAACGCGCGGCACTGCGTAAAGTCTTGTGCGCGGACGATTTCGCTGCTCTGTCCGTCGTCAATTCCGCAGCGAACGTCTACGTGCCGAAGGCTCGCCTCAAGGACGCCGAGTTCCTTCTGACGCTGGCAGTCGATGTTGTCCTAGCGAACCATTC